TGTTTTCAGAAAAACAGAAACGTTTGGAAACATGAAGACATTAAGCATACGATTGCGACAATATAGTTTATTTGTGTTTGTCAAGTCATCTCCAGGTAATAAATAAAGTATATGAACAATGCAGTGCTAACTGACATAGCATTTATTACAGTATTGAAACTATTCTGCCTTATTATGTGATATTATGTAAAAATTGTAGTATATAAGCAAATCATTATTATTGGTTATTGTCCAGCAGTTATCTGATTTCTAAGCCAATTAAAAGCTTGAAATTAGAGTAAAATTAAAGTTGACATACACTCACTGGTGTCAAAAGTATTCACATTACTAGGCTATTTCAAATAACTGTTTTCTATTTGAATATATTTTAAAATGTAATTTATGCATCATTACTCCAGTCACACTATCTTTCAGAAATCATTCTGATATTCTGATTTACTGCTCAAAAAACATTAACAATAATAATAATAACTAAAAAATGTTTCTTGAGCAGCAAATCAGTATATTAGAATGATTTCTGAAGGATCACGTGACACTGAAGACTAGAGTAATGATGCTGAAAATTCAGCTTTGATCACAGCAATCATTTTAAAATATATTCAAATAGAAAGCAGTTATTTTAAATAGTAAAAATATTTCACAATATTACTGCTTTTGCTGTACTTTGAATCAAATAAATGCAGGCTTGGTGAGCAGAAGAGACTTCTTTATAAAACATTAAAAATCTTACTGTTCAAAAACTGTTGACTGGGAGGTTATATAGATTACAGAAATGTTATATTGCAATGTTGTAAATATATATATATATATATATATATATATATAACATTTCTGTCCCCCTCACTTCTGAAATGATGGCTACGCCCTTGCGCTACAGGGTGATGCGGAGGAGACGAATTGCTGAATAAAGTCTTTTTTTTCCGCACAAAAAGTATTCTCGCAGCTTCGTATAATTGCGGATGAACCACTGATGCCACATGGATTATTTTACAGATCTCCTTGCTACGTTTCTGGACTTGGGGACATTTAAGTTGTATTGCTGTCTATGCAGGGTCAGACAGCTCTCAGATTCCATCAAAAAATCTTAATTTGTGTTCTGAAGATGAACGAAGGTCTTACGGATTTGAAACGACATGAGGGTGAGTAATTAATGACAGAATTTTAATTTTTGGGTGAACTAACCCTTTAAACGAGTGTTTGGAGTGGAGTTGAATAGCTGTGCAATAGATGTTTAACTTTGTCTGTATTGTGTTTTCACTGTAAGCCATAATACTCATTGCTCTGTCCTCCCACCTCTTTAAAAAGTTGCATTCATTGATTTCTCTCCAAACACTTGCAAAGTGTGTATAAATCTTAGCTGCAAGTAAAACACAGTCAAGGAGATGATGTGATTTTTTTTTTGGACCTCATCTCTGAATTCATGTCCCTAAAGGCCTTATAAAGAGCTTGTGATGCACACCTTAATTCTCTAACCTCTGGCTGTTGATGTTTGTATACAGAATATGTGGACACCTAAATTACACTTAAAATGTTTGCTAAACAAATGATGCTGGAGCTTTTCTGAAAACAAACTCGTCAAAAATATATTTTGAGCAATTTATCTAACATTTTATCATTTAGTATCTAACAAACTTCAAATGCATGTTTGTGCTATAATTCTTCAAAATAAATGACACTATATATGATATTTTGTTATATGATACAAAAATATTCATACATTAAATGTGGCTTAAATGCCTAAATACACTACCATGCAAAAGTTTAGAGTCAGTTAAAAAAATTTGTTTTGAAAAATAAATTAATACTTTTATTCAGCAAGGATACATTAAATTGATCAAAAGTGGATATAACGACATGTATAACATTACATATTCTACTAAATACTAATACTATTTCAAATAAATGCTGTTCTTTTGAACTTTATATTCTTCAAAGAATCCTGAAAAAAAGTGCATAATGGTTCCCACAGAAAATATTAAGCAGCAGATCTGTTTTCAACATGAATAATAATACAAAATATTTCTTGAGCACTAAATCAGTATTACAATGATTTCTGCAGAATAATGTGACACTGATAACTGGAGTAATAGCTGCTGAAAATGTAACTTTTCCATCAAAGGAATAAATTACCTTTTAAAACATGTAAAAATAGAAACAGTTATTTTTAAATTTATAATATTTATGATATGTGACCCTGCCTGTGAAAACCCAGCTAAAGTCTTTTTTTTTTGTGATTTACTGTTTTCTACATAAAATCATATTTCATAAAGATGTAAAACATTCTGTGAAAATATAACCTTTATATCTTTAATATTGACTGAGTAAGGCCATGTCAAAGATTGAAACATAGTGAAATTAATGGTAGAAATCAAACTTTGGTGCTTGTTATCTCATGATTAGATTTTAAGACTTTAGCCTGGATTTCACAGACAGGGTCACATATCATTACTTTTTACTGTATTTTATGTAAATAAATGCAGCCTTGATGAGCATAAGATACTTCTTTTATAAACATCTTACGACCCAGACTTTTGAATAGTAATGTATGATTTTGTGATCTTTTTGTTTCAGTGATACACCACGAATACCAGAAACATCACACCCTCCGTTAGAATCTAGTATGTACTGAATCAAATGAATCATGAATCAAATGTGAACTCTTAAATACTTTTTTTTAATAAAAAATTACTCTGATGTTTTCAACACTTGTTTGTTCTTGTCCCTCTGCAGCAGGTTCAAGTTCCTTCGAATCACAGAAGATGGAAAGACCCTCTATATCTGTCTTGTCCCCTTCCAGCCCAAGTGGTCTTAGAGATGCCCCTCAGCTACTGCCTGGACAGCTGTCGGTCAGTACACACGGAAGTATGTACATTCACAATGTTGTGCTTAGAGTCTTTGTTTATTAGCTGTTTATGTATTTATGTCTTGCAGGTGAAAATGTGGTACGATAAGGTCGACCATCAGCTGATAGTGAACGTATTGCAGGCTATAGACCTGCCACCCAGATCGGGTGGACGACCCAGAAACCCATATGTCAAAATGTACTTCCTGCCTGATAGAAGGTATGTTAGATTTTTCCTGTGGTGTCAGTTTTAGTGTCAAGAAATTCAGTATTGTATCGACTACAGACATTTTTTATTGTGACATGCCTATACACTACCGTTCAAAAGTTTGTGATCAGTAAGATTTTTTAAAAGAAATTAATGCTTTTATTCAGCAAGGATTAAATTGCATTAAATCGATCAAATAAATGCTGTTCTTTTGAACTTTCTGTTCATCCAAAAAATCCTGAAAAAATGTTTCACAGTTTCGAAGCTGCACAAGTGCTTACTTTAATAATATAATAAGAAGTGTTTCTTGAGCATAAAATCAGAGTGTAGAATGATTTATTAAGGATCATATGACACTGGAGGAATGACTACTGAAATTCAGCTTCACCATCATATGTGAAAAAAAATGTTAAAATGTTAAAATAGCAATATATATTTTTAGCAATTTATATTTTGCATTGCAATAATATTTCAGTTTTTACTGTGTATCTGATCAAATAAATGCTTCATTGGCGAGACTTCTTTAAATATATATATACAGTATATATTTAAAAAAATATTTTTAAAGAAAACCATTTTAAAAAATCTTACTGACCTGCAACTTTTGAACGATAGTGTAGATCAAACAAATTTTCCAATAAATGTATGATTTTTTTTTGTTTCTGATCATTGCTTATATGTGCATCAAGTTTTAATGTTCTCGTTGTAATGTTTTATGTGTATATTTGTTTTACTTTAGTGATAAGAGCAAGAGAAGGACGAAGACAGTGAAGAAAAGTCTGGAGCCCAAGTGGAACCAGACATTTGTGTACTCTCATGTCCATCGCCGGGATTTCAGAGAACACATGCTGGAGATTACTGTGTGGGACCAACCCAGAATACAAGATGAGGAGAGTGACTTTCTGGGAGAAGTATGAAGCATATGTAAACTTTGTCCATTTATTCACAACATGAATTGCTCTGTGAAAACATTCGTACAGTATCACACCTGATTGTCTGCGGTTTCTCCTGTCTTTAAACCTAGATCCTAATCGAGCTGGAGACTGCCCTGTTGGATGATAAGCCTCACTGGTACAAGCTGCAGACACATGACGTCTCTTCCATCCCACTGCCACACCCGTCGCCATACCTGCCCCGCAGACACGGACACACTGAAACACCCACCAAAAAGCTGCAGCGTAAGTGGAAGGCCTCACTGGTGGGGATGTGATCTGAAAAGGTTGAACACACAGAATCACTTTGTGTTTAAGTGCTTTTTCTCTCATAGGGAGGAATTTAGTAAGAATGATTTTAATTTCATCTGTCAATCCTGCTGTTTATTTGCAAGCGCTGCGAGCTATCAGCACCTGATAACTGGATATGTGTCCAATTATAACACTCGTCTACGGTGGCCGAGAGAGCTCAGCGCGCTGCAAATGAAAAAAAACACATGCAAATAGAAAAAACACCAGCAATTTAAGAAAACATCTTCATCAGTTTGACGACACATGCGCTGCAAATACTCACAACACGATCAAATACAGAAACGCACTGCAAAAACTTGCAACACAATCAAATACAGAAACATGCAGCAAATATGCACAGACCACATCGGAAAAGTATAAGGGAACCACAACAAGTGACGAACCTGGCTGGGACACGCTTCAGTGTCTACTCTGAAAGGTGAGATTTATTTTTTTTAACATCCTGATCATATGATTCCCTAGGATCTATATTATTAGCCTAAATAAGCTGAAGAAATATACAATTAGCCTACTGTAACTGTGAAACGTTATGTTAGCTGGCTAACTTACTTTTACAACTTCCCTTACGAATGGTTTTACTATTTAAAAAAAACATGGTTACTATAGTTAAACCATGGTAATAACAAATTACACTAACCACAGGTTAACCATGGTATTTGTGTGGTTACACAAATGTAATGGTAAAATTGTAAACGCCAAAAACATCATTACTACACTTTTACTATAATAAAACCATGGTTAATTTTCGTAAGGGTTGTTGGGGTCCCCTTGAAACATTTACGTTGTGGTCTGTGCCACTTGCATCGCTTTTCTGTATTTGGTTTGTGTTGTGAGTTTTTGCAGCGTATGTGTTGTCAAACTGATGATGTTTTTTTTAATTTGCTGATGTTTTTTCTATTTGCATGTGTTTTTTTCATTCGCAGCGCGCTGAGCTCTCTCGACCACCATACTCTTCCACATCGCTTGATCATAATTTGATAAATTACGGCCACCGTGATCAAATAGGAAATGTACACACATTTTTGTACCATCAATTGTTCATGGGAGGTAATAGTTAATTAGCCTCGTCTGCATAGAAAGTAGGTGGCTTAATTTAAATATGCATAGTGCAGCACTGTATAAGCTATATACAGTATTCAAAAATTTGGGGTGTTTTTGAAAGAAATCTTTTATGCCCACAAAGGCTGCATTTTTCTTATCGAAAAATAAAGTAAAAACAGTAATATTGTGCAATATTATTACAATTTAAAATTGCTATTTTCAATTTTAATGTATTTTAGAATGTAGTTTATTTAAGTGTTGGCAAAACTGAATTTTCAGCAGTCAGTACTCCAGTCTCCAGGGTCATATGATCCTTCAGAAATCATTCTAATATACAGATTTGGTGCTCAAGAAACATTTCTTATTATTATCAAAGTTAAAAACAATGTTGAAATTTTGTGGAAACCTGGATACATTTTTTAGGATTCTGTGATGAATAGAAAAATGCTTGATAAATAAAAGTATTAATTAAGAAAAAAAAAAATCTTACTGATCCCAAACGTTTGAACAGTAGTGTACATTTTGCTTAAATGTAAGCGGTATATGAATAAGATGCAGTGTTTTGCATTGAAATGCTGCTCAGTTGTGTGGCACAATCGTTTAGTGAATTCGCCCCCTCAGTGTTTCACAAGATTTACCATAAGCTGAAGAGGATGTGGGCAGTTCGATTAAAATAGAGGAAATTTGCCTTCACTTTCTAAAATGTTAAATCAAGTCAGAGAAATGATCATAATTTCACAATTACTAAACTATATATAAGTAGGTGAAAGACAATCATCAAACATTAGTTAAACATCAACATATCTTTTAGGTCAAGGTCCTGAAATTCATCCAGTATTATTAATATTTTTGCCATTGTCTCGAGTTTTTCGTGTCTGTACGTGCATGAGGAGGTATGTTTTTGAACCGTGCTGCCTGTGAGTTAGTGTGTAGGAGTGTGGCCCATGGGTACAGTGTGTCCACAAGACATATTTTAGTATGCTAGGTTATTTCTGTATACCTTTGCTTGCCTAACTATGGATTATTCCAATAGTGCTTTGTGTGCATTTGTTTGCGTCTATTGTATGTCTGTCTGTACATCTATCCCTGTGTGTATATCTGTCTGTGCAGGGTCTGTACATGCATGAGGAGGTATGTTTTTGAACCGTGCTGCCTGTGAGTTAGTGTGTAGGAGTGTGGCCCATGGGTACAGTGTGTCCACAAGACATATTTTAGTATGCTAGGTTATTTCTGTATACCTTTGCTTGCCTAACTATGGATTATTCCAATAGTGGTTTGTGTGCATTTGTTTGCGTCTATATCTCCGCGTCTGTCTGTACATCTATCCCTGTGTGTATATCTGTCTGTGCAGGCTCGCAGCGTATTACAGAAACTGATTATGATGATGGTATTGGCATAGTTGCCACAGGTGGGTGGGAGGGGCCAAGGCAATGCCAACCTTGGCACTTCTCTGTACTTTATGCATTAGAGTACCCCAAAAGAGAGAAGCAACCAATAGCAGGCCTTCCCTTCCTTTGGAAGTCACCGTGGTTGTGCTGGAGACAATTCACCGATGTAGCGAATCAGCTCATGGGAAATATGAATAATTAATCATAACTAGTTATAATTAATTATGAATATTTTAGATCCGCTGTAGATATTTAGCTGACCTCTCAGGGTCAACTGTCTTGTCAATTCTAAGAACGTTAATTTCCTGGTTAAGGGAAATAACTTCCTTACTGTACAATTCTACAAAAGCTTGTAGCATAAATCTGCATGATTAAGTGACTCCAGTTATGAGCAAACAATGAACCACGTCAAGTGTGATACAAGTAAGGTTTTATTAACTACATAAACACATAAACTGGTCTAACACACATATACACACACACACAGTTTGTATAGGAAAGGGTTAAAAGCTTAACGCAGTAAAGAGAAGAGAAATAAGAATATGAAACTATGGTACCATTTGATATTCAGCAGATTTACA